ACGCTGCGTGTACCACTCACGGAGCTGCTGGGGCGGGGGGATGTCCCGCGAACGCTGCTGCTGCTGCTGCTGCTGACGCTGGCCACCACCAGAGCCGCTACGCTGCGGGGCACCACCCCGACCAGCTCCACCCCCTCCGCCACCGCCGCCTCCACCTCCACCACCACCGCTGCCTCCTCTCCCACCGCTGCCGCCACCACCGCCTCCTCCTCCGCTGCTGCCACCGCCACCACCGCCCCCGCCACCACCGCCACCGCCACTCCCACTCCCTCCGCCGCCTCCACCGCCACCTCCACCGCCCCCTCCAGTTCCACCCGCGCCCTTGCCCCCCTTGCCCCTGCCAGGGCGGCGTCTCCCGCTAGGGGCAGACGCCGCGCAGACCGACTCAAGACCAAGCAGGTCGGCAGCAGCAGCAGAGGCAACAGAGGGCAGCAGGGGGGAAGGAGAACACCCCTCAAAGATGGGGGTGCGAGGGTCACCACGAGAGGCTCCTACAGCGACGATGCTCTTCTCCGCCGCCAGGAGGGACTTCTCGAGGAGATCGACAGTGAGAGTGGTGGGACAGACTGAGAGGAAGTGGTCCCTGACTACGTGAAGGGAGTCAGGGAGGCGTGTGACTATGTAATAGAGAGTGATGTACATGGGGGGGGGGTTCTTGGCGCAGAACTCAGCAGGAAGGGCGGCGCGGTAGCGAGTGTCACTAGTGCGGAGGTGAGTAATGAGGTCAGCGACAGTGGGAAAGGCAGCAAGGTCAGGAAAGATGTACGGTAGCATGAGGCGGCTCAGGGCAGCAGTGGCAGGGGAAGAGTAGCGCGCAACTACAGCGTCGTACAAGGTCTGAGCACTCTTGTACTGACTAAAGTGCGCGCGCTCAGTGGTAGGCAGGTGGCGACGCACAGCAAGACGTGCAGCAGCATCGCGGGTGGCCCACTGAGAGCGAACAGTGGGGTCAGCATCAGCAGCAGGGGCAGGGGAGGCGCCAGAGGTGAGGTCAAAGAGGGAAAGACCGTCCGTCCTATCGCACTGTAAGAACAGCTGCAGGTCGTCGACCCAGACCTCAAAGTCAATGGCTCGACCCTCAGCGTCAAAAGCGAGGACACTAGGGGTAGCCATGACGACGACAGTGTAGCAGTGCAAGCAGTAGGGGAGGGGCACGCAGTAACAGTGGTGCTGTGCTCACCAGGCAGGGCAGGTCGGGCGGCTCGGCAGTAGGGCGGCCCGGCGGCTGGGCGGCTCGGCGGCTCGGCTGCTGGGCGGCTCGGCTCCCGGGCGGCTCGGCGGCAGGGCGGCTCGGCGGCAGGGCGGCTCGGCGGCTCGGCTCCCGGGCGACTCGGCGGCAGGGCGGCTCGGCAGCAGGGCGGCTCGGCTCCCGGGCGGCTCGGCTGCTGGGCGGCTCGGCGGCAGGGCGGCTCGGCGGTCGTAGGCGGCGGGGCCGGTGAGGATAGGCGGCGGGGCCGGTGAGGATAGGCGGCTGGGCCGCGAAGTGGGGCGGCGGGGCCGCGTAGGTGAGGGCGGCGAGGCCGCGAAGACAAGGGCGGCGAGGCCGCGTAGGTGAGGGCGGCGGGGCCGCGAAGTGAGGGCGGCGGGGCCGCGTAGGCAAGGGCGGCGAGGCCGCGACGTGAGGGCGGCGAGGCCGCGAAGGCAAGGGCGGCGAGGCCGCGTAGGTGAGGGCGGCGGGGCCGCGAAGGTGAGGGCGGCGGGGCCGCGTAGGCAAGGGCGGCGAGGCCGCGTAGGTGAGGGCGGCGGGGCCGCGAAGTGAGGGCGGCGGGGCCGCAACGTGAGGGCGGCGGGGCCGCGCAGGTGAGGGCGGCGGGGCCGCGTAGGCAAGGGCGGCGAGGCCGCGACGTGAGGGCGGCGGGGCCGCGACGTGAGGGCGGTGGGGCCGCGTAGGTGAGGGCGGCGCAACGGGCCGCTAGGGGCGACACGGAGGGTCGCTAAAAAAAAGAAAGCGCGCCTCGGGGCGCGCTTCGGTGGGCCCTAGAAACAGTCCCTAGGAGGGGACCTGCTCTGATTCCATGAGAAAAGGAGAAAGCGAATGAATGAACTATGAATGAAGTGAGTACATATAGGAAACCCTAATTGGGTTGTACCCACTATGGGATACCCCACTATAGCCTACACAACAGCATAAGCTATATATATGTTCTGACACGGATTCCTCCGCCTCCTCTCTCCTCTCATTCGGTCCGTACCTCCCTCTAGCAACCGCCAGCGACACCACTAGCAGCAATCCTCTGATCGCGTCAGGCGCCGCGATTCCAGCTGGATCCACTTCTTCGACATCGCGGAAAAGGTTTCACCCCAAATTCGAGTTTAAGTCCGGAAGCTGCAGGAAAGTTGCAGAAGACCTGCACCAAAGTATCCGGAAAACAATAGCCCAAAAATGCAACTTTCCTGTCATATGGCTAAGTCCCAAAAACCAATGACTGAATTTTGCAACTCACACAAATTTCGGATACAAGGGGTAACCGAGCCGCGAAGTATGGGTACGTGGGGTATCCGAGGCGCGAAAATTGGATTCGTGGGTTTCTCGGACCGCACATTTCTAGCATCAAATTCGAAACCATGGCACCGAACAGCACACCTGGTCACGACCAAAAATTGGGAGTCCCCCTTGCTGTGAAACTGCTGGTGTCCGATCGATGAACACTTGGCACAAAATAGGTTAGCTTTCTCGAAAGTTGCGAGCACAGTAACGTGGATACAAAACCAGACGACCGTCGCCAAGGTACAACCAGCAACCGGAACTGGCAACAGGCACAAGGGTTCACAGTCACACCCAATCAGTGCTAAGTGTTCAGATTTCGGGTACTGACGTGGCTTCCCAGGACCAAGGTTTAGCTAACCCGTAACCTACGTGGTAGAACCTAATGATTTTTTACTAACCAATCACTGGTGTGCTCTTGCCTGCATCAGAAATCGACGGCATTTTTTTACGACACATCAGCACACCTCCAAGCTCTAGAAGCATCTATCTTCATTACCCTCACTCTGCGCCTGACTCTCTCCCGCACAAGCATCCGTCACCTACCTCATTTTCACGCAACTGGCTCAGGTTATTCAATTCTCGCCCACATCTCGTGCCTCTGAGTGTCTTCTTACGTACCAACTAGCGTCTACCCGAAGACCATATCACTTCTATTTCTTGTTGCATTTATCACCGCTGCTTGTAACTCAGATCTATGTTATAATTTTCTGCCCCTGCGAAACCTCCCCTTTCCTTTTACAGATTAAACGCCAGCGTTTAATCGCGCGGAGAACGTGGCACCAGCGACTAGTAACGGAGTCGCCGACTACACATGCTTTCTATAACTCGAGACCAAGCTAACATTTTCCCCTGCGTGTGTCGCGCTGGCTGTAACTTGTATATTTGTTTCCACTCGTTCATCTATTCTCACGGGTTATGCTTCGCGCGCAATCCGACTTGTTCGTATCTTCTCGATATGTGTGCAAATCTTTCGCCTTGGCTTGTGACTGGTACATTCTTTCCCGCCCCTGCCAGTCCTCCCATTCTCTCTTCAAATTAATCAGTTGTGCTGCTTTTTGTCCATAGCCTCACAATACTGCTCGTCGGCATGTTCACTGCATGCGTAGGACCTTCGGCCCGCGAATCGTAGGGGAGGCGCCGTCTTCAGCGCGAGAACGCGGAGGGTGTGGTACTCGCACGAAGGTCTCTCTCTGCCTCTGTTTGAGCTTTCCAGCATGCGCCTTCTTGTCCCATGCTGTCTGGAATCCAGCCTCTAACGATAACGTTTTCATGTCTGTTGTGTTAGTAGTCATCGTGTTTCAGGATTGATTTTCATGTGCAGGGGTAATGCAAGTCACGCGATGTTGACTTTTTTTTCCAGCTGTATCATCAATACCCAGAAGCTACCAAGCACGTTGACAGCAATGTTACAAGTGGCGATGAAGCCCCGCGGGTGGTAAGTCACTGAGGTGGGGAACGTTCATCAGACTAACCAAGCTCTAACGTTACGTGTGTGTACTGTTTGCAGGCGTTAGAAAGAAGCTTTTTTTTCGCAGCCTGTGCCCTCCACATAAGACGTGAAGCTTCGTACAAGTTCTTGGTGTTAGCTGTGTTCTTTTTTACGTAGTGTTAGCGTCAGGTGCATACGTTACGTTTGTATGCAAATGTGAATGGCTACAGATTTTCACCAAATTGTAATCCTCACACGAAACCAACTACAGAAAGTTGCTGTAACGAATGCTCCGCTTGTACTGTTCAGGCAAATCGACGGCCAGTAGAAATCGATTTTCGCACACGTCAAGGTCATGTCTGATTCGCCCACCTGGCAAGCTGCCGTTCACACATCGAGAATGACACCTGGCAGAAATATCTTTGCTTACGTGGCAAAATATCTTCGTGAACGTACCCGCGTACGTACACTTCGAAGTCGAAATTGTACGCGTGCCACGTGGCAGGTCGTGAAACTGCATACATGTGACTGAAATGTATACGCAACGTGTCCAACGAGTGTCCGAAAAGTTGCGGAAGTGTTGCAAAAATGCAACTTTCTTGCAACTTTCTTTCAACTTTCCAGTGACTTGGATTTCTGCAACCTTCGTCCATCACTGCCAAGTTGCAAAACCAAAGTATTCAAAAAGTAACTTTTTTGCAAGTTTCCCGCAGCCTACAGGCAAGTCCTTTTTCGCGATGGAACTCCTCCTCTTCCCACGGGCAGGCCACTGCCAGCGCGAAACGCGGCGGGACTTCCGGCGCAACTCGTGCTGGTTTGCCTGCTGGGGGTAGGGATCTAGGGGGGAAACGGATATGGGGGTGGTGGCTATGGGGGAGGAGGAACCGGGGGAGGTTTGGCTTATGCCGGAGCGAGTGGTGAGGGGACGGGTGGGAGAGGAGCGGTGAGGACTGCTGTGGGTGGCGGTGGCGGCGGTGGTAACCATGCTACCAGCGCTTTCAATGGAGAAAGCGGCATTTCAGTGGTTTGGACAGGTTCAGTGATGCCAGGACAACGAGAACTGCAGCCGCACGTTGAGGAAGCATGGGGGGCATGGGATACTTAGAAGGAGGAGCGAGAGGAGAAAGAGGAGCGGGTCGAGAAGCAGGGGTTGCAGACGGCGAAATAGGGGCACTTAGGGCAGAAAGAGCTAGTACTGCTGGTACCTTCTCTGCCGGCCCTACTGGTACCTCTCGTGTCAACCCTATCCGTGCCCCTACTGGCGCTGCTGTCACTGCTGGTGTTGCTGGCGCTCCTGGTGCTGCCACCACCACCATCAGGGGCACCACCACCAGCAGAAGCGGCATTGGAAGCGGTAGCAGCAACAGCAGCAGCAGCAACAACAACAGCAACATGGGGGGGATTCCAGGGAGCAGCAAGTCGGACCTGCTGTCGCGGGACTTATGGATGAAGGACAGCCACGCGCTGCACTGCTACGCGTGTGATGCGCAGTTCACCATCCTCAACCGCCGCCACCACTGCCGCCGCTGCGGCCGCGTCTTCTGCGGCCGCTGCACCCAGCGCTCCATCCCCATGCCCTTCCTTCGCCGCGACCAGGCAAGACCACTCCTGCCCGCTGCTGCTCCTGCTCCTGACAGTGCTAAAAGTGGCGAATCAGAAACAGTACATCATACCCTCTCCTCTAGACCAAACTGTTCCCTCCCTTCCCCACCCTCTCTTCTCACCGTCTCCCTCCGACCCCATTCCCCATCCCTCGCTCCCTGGCAGTTGAACGTGAAGTCGTATGCCAACAACAACCAGCTGGCCATAATGCTGGATGAGCGAGTGGCAAATTTCAAACAGCACATCACACCCACTTTTCCCACCCTCTCCCTCCCACCCCGCTCCCCATCCCTCTTGCACCTCTCGCACCCTGGCAGTTGAACGTGAAGTCATTCGCCAATAACAACCAGCTGGCCATAATGCCGGACGAGCGAGTGCAGGTGCTGGAGTGGAACTGCCGCTACCTCACAGTGCTCGCAGTGGCCAACAAACGCCTCTACCAGCTGCGCCTGCAGGTGCCCGAGAGGCTCCTGGATTCTGAACGGCCTGTGCTGCGGCAAGTCATGGACTCTTTCCGCGTGTTCAGCGTTGCGGAGTAGATAGAAAATCAAATGGAGCGTGGTTATGGTGCTGCTGAATCGAGTTGTTGCTGTGCATTATGCATCCCGATCCCTGAGAGGCCTGTGCGGCACCAAGTCATAGACACGGTCCGAGTGTTCTGTGTTGCTGAGTAGATTTGTGTAGTTTCTTTTGGAAAAGATAATTGTCAAGAGGAGTACACTTCGAATTTACCATAACAATCTTGAGAGAGGCCTGAGCTGCACCAAGTAACGTCATCCCTGGACAAGCCCTACTCCTAGTTCTCAACTGTTGCTCCAGATCCTCGTTCTTACCGGTACTTCAGCATTTTTCAGGCCAGAACTTGGCAACATGAGGAATTGTGCCAAACACATATTTTCAAACACCAAACACTTATTTAGGGGGCTGTATGCTGGAAACAAATTGCCCTCGTAAGCTGTGGCAACATATCTGGGTGTTACTAAGGTGACCTTGTATGGGATCACGTTTCCAACATTTTTTGCGGCACATGGCCTGGCATCACGCCGTGACTATCGCTGGCAAATCACGCAAGAGGGTGGTTCTCCTTCGGGATATTCAATGGTTTATCCCCAAACCCTCCGGAGGGCAGGAAGTATTAATATTAGTCCTGGTTCGGTGCTCGTGTTTCCACTCGATGTCAATTCACTTCTGTCTATACGGTTGGTTCCTAGTTCCAGTCTAGCCACTTAGTACTCGGTCCAGGATTTTGACAGTGGTACCAGGCTTTCTGGCTCAAATGTTTAAATCTCCAGCTAGCGAGTCTGCACACTGGTATTGTTTCGGGCTAAATCAGAACTATCGGAATTCCCTCCTATATGCCGACCGTCACCAATAGGACCAAACCATGTGAAAAATGATTAATTGTGTGAACCTCTCCGCTGAAACCTGCGCCTCGAGAATTTTACGAAAGTGCCTGACTTGGGCTGATTGGGTTTGCGTAGCCGCCAGGCTTGGCAAAATTACCGCATGGCGAAAAATCGCTCGCCTGCGAAGCTTGCGCAATGCGCAACTACCGCATTTGATGATGATTTCGATGTATTGCATCTTCCCGCCAAAATGTTCTCCAGTGATAGACTCCAATCCCTCCCCTCCCCGCCCTTCGACAAGCAAGACGAATTTGTTTCATGGGAGCGCGCACTCCCACGCCTACATAAACACGCTCGTCATCCCATTCCCATCATCAGTCACCCACATTCTTCGCAAATTCCTTAGCCAGCCGCTCTCCCTTCTGCTTGTTCACCGGTTATTCTCCTCTCACCGTGTCTGCGAATCGGGATTAACTCCTTTGCCAACTATGGCTCGGACAAACATGGTGTTGCCACCACGGCGGTGCTGCCGGTGCTTCTGTTTGTGCTGCTCCTGACGTCAGCATCGTATGTCGCCGCAGGTAAGCTCCGCATCTACTCCTATCATGGTGCATTCCGTTCAGTTTAGGTAGTTTATCTGAAGCAGATTCGTAAATATTTGGGTTAAGTATGTACACCGCGTCGATATCTATCGTGCTGCATTTCGGTTACTATGTGACTTTTTCGTCACATTTCCGTATACGATTTTTGGGGGTAAAAATGTGATGGTTGGAAGTACCAAGCCCAATGTCACTTCCAACGTGACGGGAATGTCACGGAAATGTCACGGAAAAGGTTCTGCCGCGTCACGATCACCGTCACGGCATAGTCACGCGGAAGTCACGCACATGTCACACTGGGGTGGCCTCTGCCGGGCGAATAATAAATGCCACATTTAGACACAATCTTATAACGTCCATACACGTGGCGACCATGACGTCATCACGACATACAGTAAGTTACAACACTGTACAGTAGACCGCGCCTCGTGCCACAGTCTTATCCAATCAACTGCATTCACGTGGACGACCACGATCAACCCGGAATCGCATCCACACCCTTCGTTGTCATTCTCTGTAACCAATACACACGCGCCATATTACGATAGTACCTGTTACCCATTGGTCGACTCTCAATACAGCACGTCGCCACCAGACTACGTGTACACGGCGGATGCCGTTGACTTATGGCAACGTGTACGGCTGTTACCATGCTCATGATTGCTGCACATGTAATCACGATGTGTATCCGACCGTCCACGTACCCACGCATCGACGATGCCTCGCATTCGGCATCGCGAGCCGGATCCCACCTGTGTCAACGTGTAATTATTCCCGTCCGTTGGTATACTCCCACGTAGCCGTTGATCACGTAGTGTGGAGCTACTGATGCTGGCCCACTTGTCCTGCCCTCGACCGTCCACCAGACCATCATCCAACGGCACACCTGGCTGTCGATGCACTTGCATCTACGGCTCCAGTGGGCATAGGGCTCGCCACGCGCAGCCCCACGATAAGGTTGGTTGGACAGTCTCAAACCGAATCGCGGTCCCATCCTAACCGCATCGAACGGCACACATCCGAACCGCATTCTGCGTTTGTGACCCTACGCCAATGGCCGTAATTGTCTGTTTTATTTTACATTCAGGTGAATGGTTGACTGGTTATGTTTCCCCCTTGCTCACGACGTCATGTGATTAATTGCACTTATTTTTTTCGTCCATCAGTGTTGAACGCAATTGCCATAAATCGCAGTTACACGCGGCTGATGCCGTACCACATCCCTCTATCAGAGCATCCTCACACGGCCCACCACCTTTCCCATACAACGCCACCTTCATACGCATTAGCCATATTGTGGTACTACAATTCTATGCACCAGCTCACGATGCCAGACATCGCCTCCCGGTGTTTCTCCGATTATGCCTGCTGAGACCCGCGGCTGACGCTTGCCTCCGCGGTCACTGCGTTGGCAGCCGCGATGCCGTCCGCCGAGATGCTCAGACCATGGCGGCCCCACGCCCAGCTCTGGGACGCCTCGTCATAGGCGGGCCGGAAATCCGCGATGGCCCCCCTAACCGCAGCCTGTACGAGGACGTGGAGGCCGTCCACGATCTGCGCGTTGGTGCTTGCGGAGTTGTAGAAGCGACCCTGGCGAGCCTCCCAGTGCTTGACTGCATCTGTCACCTGCGCACGGCAAACCACGTACAGGCGCGCATGAGGCCACTCTCCCTGGTATTTCAATCTCTGTAAAGCTGCACGGTGCCGGCTTACCACGTGCTCCAGCCATGCCACGTAGTAAAGCTTCAGTGTCACAGTCCCGTTTACCATCCTTGGCTTGAACGCCGCCCGCGCGCATGCTGTAAACGCCCCGGACGCGAACGGCATCCCGTCACGGTCGCAACTCCAACGAGACAGTGCCAGCTTACCTGCCACAATACGCTCACACAAAGTGCACATTTAATAACGGCGATCCATGCATATGCAATGCACTCTCGTCCGCCCTTGTTGCTGCAGCACGTTCTTACCCGCCGGCACGTCTCCAAGGCCGACCCTATCTCGGATTCGGGACAGGGTGCGCCTCGCCCGTGCCGCCCAGGGACTCTTCATGTCTCGGTCGTGGCGGAACAGTCCAATCCTAGGCAGCGAGATGTCGCGGACTCTCCCTGCCGCACCAGTCTTCCAGTCGCTGAACGACCTGTTCAGGTCGATCCGACGTGCCTTGCACGCCGCGAGAGCAATGCTTGCATAGCTCTCAGTCAGGTTATCCACGACTGCGCAAATGGCCCATGTCTTGGCTGCGCTGCTGGGGTAGAACGTCAGCTGCGAGTTGGAGCGCCGAATGAACAGCTCGATACGAGCCTGCTCACATATTTCCTGCAATGACAGACCACGCATTACACCATCAATCACCAGACATGATCCACCATGTGTACAGCCTCATCTCCCAAACCAGACTGCGACGCGACAACACTCTATGCTTACCTTCCAGCCTTTGTCGGTCGGGAGGAGGTCGAGCGCCTCCTGCATAATGGCAGATGTTGAGTGTCGAAGGTGGCCCTCGTCCTCGTCGTCGAAGCCCCCCTCCTCATCGGACGCCGTCTCGGACGTGGAGCTCGACCGCCGCGCCTTCCGGCGCTTTCCCTTGCCGGAGCCGCGCTTTCGCCTCCTCCTCTTCTTATTGTTGACGTCATCCTTGGGTTTCGCAAGGAACGCGGTCTCCAGCCTTGCAATCGCACGTGCCGTGGCTTCATGGAGCTCCCTCATGCTATGCAGCTCCTCGCGCGTGACCGGTGTGTCATCCGGAGCACGTTCCGCGCCGGCCTCGTCCTCTTCTGCGTCGACCTCGGCATTGTTGTCCGCTTCCGCACCATCCTCGTAGTGAGTGTTCACTGGGTTACGCCTGGGGAGAGCCTCGTTTGGATCGTCGTCAGATGATGGCGCAGGAGGTGCGTCATGTTCCCCATCCACTCGTTCAGAGCCTTCGATGACGTCTTGAACCTGACGTTTGCGCCTGCGGCCCGCCTTCCCGCTGGAAGCAGCGGTCTCGTCAACCTGCCTGCTGGACTGGGCCGAGGAGGAACTACCCTCCGAAGTGCTCCCATGCGACATACGAGAGTCCACGCGAGTCCCATGGGACGGTGTCACGGCTGCATATCACACGCGGTACGCCAACACGCAGAGTATAACGAGAGCAAACCACAAATGAACACAACGTGAAAAAATGTCACCGCTAGCCGCAAATCATATACGAGTAACCAAACACTTGAGCAACGCGAAACGAAAAGCCACTCACGTGGCGGCGAGGGTGGGCCCCGGGCTTGCTGCTCGTTGGCATTTTTCGGAATCTCCAGACGAGGCTTCTTCGTCTTCTGACGCCTAACATTGCCAGGCAGAAGGTAAGAGTTCCTCAGATAGGCAGGTGGCTGTGACACGCGCTGACTCCTGCCCTCACGGGATGACACTGTGAAGCTGTCCATCGTGAGCCAAGGTGTGGGCAAGAATGAGTCCAGCAGACACAATGTTCCCTACTTACGCATTCCGTCTCTCGCCCGTCAACATGGCACAGATGTGCCAATCCTTTCCACGTGGCACTACATTGTCGGCCATACTGGGCTCGTCATATTTCGGACGGGTTTTGCACACATGGCACACCGAGGACGCAACGTTATCCACGGTACCCGTTACAGGGTATGCTCGGTTTATCTGCCACATTTCTGCACGCGCACATCAACTCGTCAACTTTGAAACACGATACCATATCTTCTTTCGTCATGCCAGAACTTGCATTACTTTGAAGCGATACATGAAGCGGGCTTCATCAAAATACCCCAACGGGGTAATCAGTTACTTCCTCTAGCCACACATCGTAATCACACTATATGCAGTACTAAGCTGCTCATACACGTCCAAAGACATAGTGAATGCCATCTATGGTGTAATCAGCCACTTCATGCGCACCCCCCCTGCACAGCTCATATGTCCATGGCACTCCAGAAACCCTGGCCAGGTCTATGTCCTCTCCTCGTCCACAGCCTCCGCCCCATGTAACATCCTGTCTTCCCCGTCGTCCTCGCCACTGCTGGTGCCGGGCGAGCGTGCGCCAGCAGCGTCAAGGGGGAAGGGAGTACCAGGAACAATGCCCAGCTCCGCCATTGCTGCCCTCCACTGCCGCCACCTCCACCACATCCGTGCCTTGACAAGATGCCGCACGTCGTCGCGAACACACCCTATCAGGAATGACTTCTCCGTTTCAGACAGCTCCTTCGTGTGCGGGATGTAGTCTTTGCGCCTGATCACGTATGCTGCCGCGGCATACGCATACGCCGCATCGTCCTCCACCGTATACGCACCCAGCCTGATCTGCTGACCAGTGCCAGGTCCGCACACCATCTTCACCCCCCACTTTCGGCCCCGTGCGCACCAACTAACCCCCGTCCAGCGACTCGATGCAGGCCGATTGCTGTATGCGGCAAGCATACTGGTCTGACGCACTGGCCGCGCTGCAGCCCTCGACACAAGACGCGTGCGATACCTGGCACTGCGCGAGAGGCTCGGCGGTGCTTCCGGTGTCGGAGGAGAAGTTGGGTGAGCCGGCTCCTCCTTCATGGGCATGCTATCTGTTGGTGGCTGGTCCCCATGAAACGTGGACGCCCCATCGATATGCATGTTGGCGAACAATGCCACCGGAAGCGGGCATGGCGTCGGGTGGATGGTCATGCCGAGCGTCCTCGTCGAAGCAGCGTGATCCACATGGTTATTTGACGTGAGCCGCGCCAGCAGAGGCGTCCCGTGTGCCTGTAGCTCGTGGGACGCTCCACTCAGCAGTTGATCCTCTGAAATCCCAAGCGAACGTGCCAGACACATGACAGCCGCACTCACGACGTAACCCCCGAGCTCCGTCCGGGTGATCATGCCTGACTGCCTCGCCAGGTCGGTGCGGACTTCGTCCTCCTTGGGAAAGACGAGGGCCCCATGTTCACCCAACTGTGGGAGAGGCTGCACGGGTACATCCACACCCTCCCCAAGTAGCTTGACAATAAGGTCACCTGTGGCGTGGAGTGACACTTCCTCGCGGAGCTGGCGCCGGTAGTCGTGAGATTTCGCGCCGAAGAACGTCATCCACTCTTTGAGGATTGAAAAGCCGCATGACACTAGTGCGTGGAGATACATGCCGACATAGATGCCACAGTCTACCGCGTTCGACTGTGTCGGGATGTCTTCCGGCTGCCAGCACACACACGACAGAAGAACGCACACGTCAGGGGACGACAAAACCGGACTGCGTCTGCGTCGTGACGGCGACATGAAGTGCACTTACATGCATGATGGTGACTTCTGCATATTTCAGGTGGTCCTCTGCTTGCTTCCGGTCGGCCGTGGGCAGCTGAGCTTTGTGCAGCATCAGCAACATCCTGCACGGGAATCAGGAAACCCTTATCGTTATATGTGGCATCCCGGAAATTAATAAAGTATACGATGCACTACTCACTTCTTGACGCCCTCCATCACTTCCGGCCTCTTGGTGTGCAACTGGGCACTATCGTAATGCACCAGCTCAACGCCGCCCTCTGCAGTCTCGGATAGCTTCCCGCTGACCATGGTGCGGAGGTTCGTAGCTATGACCAGCGAGTAGTGGCCCCTGACACATGTGGACACGGTGTATTTTAGCAAGTGCTCAACGGGCACCAACTGCTCGGGTAGCCGAGGGCCATCAACAGCCAAAACGAGGTAAATGACTTACTCGTAGTACACCGGTATGGCGAGGTAGTCTTGTGCGAAAATACACGGTGCATGGCCAAGGGGCCAAGCCTTGTTCAGGGAGTTCGCGAACGTAAACGCCTTCGTGTCCAGAGCGAACCATGTTTTGCCTCCCTCCAGCTTCGGATGCCTTATGTTCAATAGTCTAAAACACAGCACATATGCACGTTATGGATCGTCAGCTGGGTTACGAGAAATTCACATCTAGCATGTATAAGGCTATCCGTTTCAGGACGCTTACATGTTATGGAAGTCCACAACGGTGTCGGCCAAGCACTCGCCGTCTGCGAGAGTCAGAACGTCCTGTGCTGGCAGCTGACACCCCACTCCATGGGGACCGTAGAGAGCCAACGGCTGGAAATCATGCTGATAGTTGGGGCGGGCAAGACGGGCAACGACATCGTCACTGGGCGGCGGCAGCACCTCTCCTGCGCCCCTCACAGAGCTGCCCGCCGATGTCGCGGTACGAGGGCGGGGCAACTCCAGCTTCACCTTGCGCTTTCGGCGATCCTGCTCCGTTGACAGCGGATGACAGGTTGTCTCGCTGCACCAGCATACGCTGTATGTTCATCGTGTGCACTTAGAAGACTCAGACGCGTACTGGTTTGGTAGACGGGAGAGACAGACAGAGAGTCGAGCGTCCAAAACCTAGTCTGCTGTAATGGCAGCTCACCGGACGAATGTCAGTGGACACAGAGTCTGTTGTTGTTCGGAAACCTACAGCATAGACAAGGAACACCAATATTACCATAGCGCGCCAGATCCAGCTGGGTCGAAATTGGCGCGGAACGTTGGATATGCATGATGGGCACACGTGTCATGATTTCGTATCATGCATCATGCCCTCGATGGGGACGACGGTATTACGAAGCATGCGGTCGCGAGGTTGCAAGCGCGGGGGTACAGTGGTTCAGACCCGTTATATTGTGTGTTGATGCCCCTAAAACTTTCGCTTTCGTGCCCCACGCGTTATATGAATGGACTACCACCACGAGGCTGTTGTCCGGTTCGCCTATCCAAGGTGGCATTCAAACCCTATCTACACCAACTCGTTAAACACAGTCGCGCAACAACATTAACGACATCACATCCATTTTGATATTTGAATACGACAGTAAACACCCCTACAACCCAAACTACAGACCCCAACACCATTACCGCGCCTCATCTGGCCTCATTCCAGTGTCGCAGTCATCACATTACGGTTACAGTTGACGGACGGGGACGCTTGGTGGGCGTCCGACGCAGGCAACTAACGATCAGAGCGTTCGACGTGCCAAACCGCTCTGGCGCGTCGCGCACATTAATGCCAAGCGCTAGGGCCCGACGGACAATGTATTCGGTGACGACTCGCGCCACCCGCCTGCGACAACGACGGTCATTCAGTAACGGTCCTGGCTGCGTGTGCAGGGTTATCGAGCGCCCGTCCTCGGCGGCGAGAGTGTCGTCGTTGGTGCGCTGCACGCGAGGCAGGAGTAGGGTTAGCTCGCAGTGCGCATAGTCCGTAGCATGCATGAGAGTGTGGCCACGCCGTGCGAACTCGTCTATGATGTACTGCAGCTGTCCCAGTTCTTGCACAAGAGGTTCGGACATGACACAAAAACTGGGGTTTCTGAACGCTCGCACGGCGGAGCGCCATGATGCCGGCACACAGCCCGCGCGCCACCAGCTGAGATGGACCGAAACCGGAGTTAAGTCCCTCCATGATGAACCCATCCAGTGAACCATGAGTGACAGGGGAGGGGCGTGTCGGAACACTGTCCCGTCGCGCCACTCTCGTGTCGACATCATATGGCGAAGGTAGGAGGCACGGTACATTGTCTTCCATAGCTCTACAAGACCGCACATGCCGGGGTGGATGCACATGGGCGCGTTTGGACCCTGCATGTGAATGATTCGGAGGTTGCTCAGGTTCTGAACGCGGAAACCGTGCTCCGTCGTTTCCATAGCAGATGGATCCGTTGACGAGTGGGCGTCCTGCTTCACGAGGACGATGACATGATCATCGGTAGAGTACGAATGCCCGTTCAACGCTTCAAGGTACTCGCTAAATATCTGGCAAGCATAACACGCGAGGATGGAGCTCGAAGGTTAGTAACTGGGATTGTACGAGGCTAAAGTCAAGGCATTCCACAGACGGCGTGGGGTAAGAGCATGAGGAAACCCACCTCGGGCGTGACGGACCCGTCCACGCTGTGTCGCACAAACACGGTAAAACCGGGGGGTGTTTCAAGGCCCTGAGCAATGGCGTCGTCCGCGCGGAATATCAGAAGAGGCGGAGACATGATCGTTCCCGTTGCATTGAACAGGAAGCAGACATTGATGTGCCAGCCGGGCAGCGGATCATCGTGTCCAGTTTCCGCCTCACGAAAGGGGAGCCTGGTGGGCAAGAGAGGCTGCTCCACGAAGCAGTACACGTCGTCTGGATTAGCCTCTAACTCTTCGAGTAGCACGGCCATTTCAGCCATGGTTGAAAGACAGAGTGCACCAACAGCACCAGTGCCGAGAATATAGGATACTCTAGCTTACTCTATCAGAAGGCTCTGATGACAGAGAGCGTCATTGTACACGCGGACATTATCCGCCACGTAATCGCACCCTGAACCACTCTTGTCCACATACGTTAGAGGGGTGGACACATGTAGGCATATCATTCGGACCCATCGCGCCACCAAACATACGCACACCGATGAGAGCAGGTTAGATAAGTGGCCACGATGGCGCCAATGTACAGTGAATCGTTGGGGTTTCATTCGGGTCTCTTCATATTTGAGCGGTTGTGCTGTACCTTTGGCGCTGCACAGCCTGACGATCACAGGTAGGTAGCTGTCGGATGGACGAGCGTAATCAACCGAAACAAACCGAGGCTCTCTCTAGCTTTCCGTGTATCATGTGATGTTACTAAGAACAGGCGGACATTGACCGTTCCCCACCGTAGGAGCTCTCGGTTGGACGAGCGTACTCAACCGAAACAAACCGAGGCTCTCTCCAGCTTTCAGTGTATCATGTGATGTTACTAGGAACAGGCGCACATTGACCGTTCCCCACCGTAGGAGCTGTCGGTTGGACGAGCGCACTCAACCGAAACAAACCGAGGCTATCTCCAGCTTTCCGTGTATCATGTGATGTTACTAAGAACAGGCGCACATTGACCGTTCCCCACCGTTAACAATGTCGCCATCACCACTTCAGCAGGTCGTACCAACACAGAAGGGGGTTGCTGGTACATTTGCGTGTGTGCGCGAGGGGCACAGATTATCGGTAACTTGCAATTAGGGTTTGCCGCAACCTCTTGCGATGCTGGGTAACGCATGCGAGGCGTGCGGCTTGGAGCACGTCGACGACAACACGCTCCAGTCGCATGTGTCTAAGAATGTCAAGTGCAGGAGGAAGATACAGCACTCTCGTGCCCAGCGGCTGGTGGAGGCGTATCGGGACGCGCTGCGCGCCAAGCGCGGAGCAAGGCCCCGTTCACCCGTGCGTTCGAGACGCAGCTATGAAGGCGACTCGGCTGAGAGGGCGGCAGTGGAACCGGTTGCAGTTACCGATCAACCCGACCCGCCCGAAGGCATAGAGGAGGATAGCGACGAGGAGGGGAGTGTCATGTCAGTGATAGACGACGGCTTCAGTACTCTGGTCGAACTGTACATTTTCTTCCGCGAGGCAGATTTGTCCAGAAGGGAGGTGAACAGACTTCTGAACATTTTTCAGAACCCTAAGTTCTCGTTGAGGGACGTGAGGCGTTGGCTGAATTTCGTGGATGTCAGACGCTTTGGGCGCGACAAGGCGCCAAGTGATCATGTCCCATGGAAGACGAAGGACATCAAGTGCTACGGCCCCAGAGGCAGGATGTGCACGCTGCTGCTGCACTATCGGGATACGGAGCTGGTGAGTGCATGTGTACATGCCTGGAAAAAGGGCCACTACATGATCGTTTTGGCGGAAGGGGAAAACAGGCAGCCCATTAATCCCGCGTGGACATGCGTGTGGCAGCTGGTGAAGAAATTGCTACGCGCATTCCAGCACATCGCGGGATTCGTGACCAAGCCTCGGGCGGACGCGGAAGACACCGACACGGTGCGGCATTACAGCACTCCCGACACGGGGAGGTGGCTAGAAGAAGAGCAGGTATGTACTCCTGTTCAGTTGTGTGTAATGCGCTGAAAAGCTCGTGCGTTACGTCACTGACGGTTGGGTCCACCATGCGCGCAGGCGGCGATTGGAGGAGAGGACTGCATTGTGCTGGGTGTGATTGTGTACAGCGACAGCACGCACGCCTCGAGGAATGGCCGACTAGCGGCATGGCCGGTCCTTATCAGTCTGTTCAACATCCCAGAAGCGCTCCGCTGGCAGGAGCCGGGCCACGTAATGGCTGGTGTGCTGCCGTTCCCGCCAGAGTGGGCGTCGTCGACTGAGAAGACACGCATTTTCCAGCAGTGCATGGAGGTGATCTTCGAGCCCCTACTTCGGGCGCACAGAGGGTGAGTGGGTGTGGGAGTGGAGCACACGCGCTATGTTCTGACCTACATGCTTACAACTTACCACCACGCCATGCGCAGCGCCGAGTTGCGGTGGTTTTATGTGACGGACGCGACAGGCAAGGTGGTGAAGGCCTTTCCATGCCTCTTCGGGCAGCTGGGGGACTTCCCAGAGTCGTCGCGGTCTACTGCGACTCTGCAGCAAGGCTCACATCGGCCGTGTTCTTCGTGCTACATCAAGGAGACACATCTGGCAGACCTGTCACATAAGTCGGTGGTGCGGACTGTGGAGCTGCAGAGACGGGTGGTGGATGCAATTCAGTCGGCGGATGACAGCAAGGCTGCAGAGAAAATCAAAAAGCGCTGGTCCACCCACCCCGTGCAAGTGAGGAGGTGCACTGCCGGTATGCTCGTGGCGCAATCTGGAAATATGCACCTGGCTGGGTGACACAGCGTCCGTTCATATGCGTGCCGTTGTTGCGTGTGGCAGTGCTATTTGGAGAGGTGGAACTTTGCCGAGACCACGTGGGGAAACGTGTTCCTCGCTTGCGCGGCGGACATTCTCCACGTCCTGGACGGGGGAATGCTGCCACGCATGGGCAGATGCTTCATGGTCGGGAAGAGCAAGCCGGAGAGGCGTGAGTTTGAGAGGTGGGTTTAGATGGGAATGGCGCCACCGTCGTGGTTGTTGCGGTGGCTTTGCTGACCCTCTTTCCCAACCATGGCAGGCGCCGCAAGGAACAAAAGAAGGACACGCGCGCAAGTGTGGTGCGCATCCCGGGGGGGACCACATGGTTCAGCACAGGGGCAAACTACGCCGCTTTCGAGCACAGGGGGATGATGCAGGTGATGCCCCTCCTTATCGCAGACAACATGGAGAAGAGCAAGCAGCCGGCTAAGGCGAAACGGGAACGGGAGGTGGCGGCGTTTGTGGCGTACGCCAGCTTCTACAAGGCGCTGGTGGGCGTGACAAAGCACACAGAGAAGTCTATGGAAGACGTCCGAGAGATGGCTGTGCAGTACGTATCATCCCCGTTATTCATATTAGTGATGTTGCGCCCAAATGTGATGCCCGGCATAAGCATGACTCCCATGCGCACACGCAGGATGGTGGACGCCATCAAGGCCGCATTCCCTGACCAGACGTCGAACTGGAACATCCCTAAGGTGCACCAGATCGTGCACCTGATTGACGGCATACCACTGCGTGGTATGCCGCACGAGACATCCACCAACCTTTGGGAGCACACGCACAAGGGCACCGTGAAGGTGCCAGTCCGTGGCAGCAACTGGCATGACATCCCGCGCCGTATTGTCGAGGAGGAGGTGCAGCACGAGATTGCACGGGAGGTGGCGGCGGAAGCGGGCGGAAACAGGCAGTATGTGACGGCGCTGCGCGAGGTGAGTGGGAGGGGTGTGTACCAGGGTCACAAGGTGCTGTAGAAGGGAGCGTGTAATCGGACCCCTGGTTCTCACATGAGGCGTGCATGTTGTTGTGTGCACACAGGCCGTGCGAGGACTGAAGCCAGTCCTGACGAAGAAGTCACGGAGGGCGCACGTGGACGACGACCTGGATGCGGTGATGTGGGCGTATCGCGAAGTGCATGGGTCAGACATGGACGCACTCGCCGGGTGCATGGTGGCGGCAGGCATCCCCACCACTACCATTGAGGTGGGGAATGACGTTGGTCACAATATGGCTGGGTGATGGTTGATACATCGCGGTGATAGCCTGTATGTTGGAAGGGCCAGAGCCATGTGAAGGCATCACACCGCATCCACTGAACATCGTATATGTTGCTGGTCGTACGCAGGTGCACACTGCCGTGGCGATCCCCCGAACGCGGGGGGGGGAGCTTGTGCCCAAGGGCACATTTGTTAAGGCCAGCCCTTCTGAGCGGTGGTTTTCTGACATCGCAGTGTTCCGGTCGGACGATGAGGAGTGGTACGCAAGGTGCCTCTGCATCTTCCGCGCAGAGGGGGCGGACGGAGCGATGGGGCGGCACGTGTACGTGAAGTACTACGAGGCGGAGGGCACGTGCCCGATGACGACATGCTTGCAAGTGTCTCCCGGCCGTGTGAGAACAAGATATGCGGTGGTGGAAGTGGAGTGCATCCAGAGGGTGGTGCACTTGGGCAAGTCCTATGTGAACAAGCGGGTCATGCTCCTGAACAAGTTCCTGCTGACGGAGTGAGGATGGTGGGTTATTCTAGACGTGACATGTGTGTCCACGGTTACCATGTGCGCGGATATGGACGCAATTGACGCTAATTCTGTAGACACATGATGTGGCCCCTTACATGGTTTTTAATGACCATATGCGTCGTTTGGTCAGGTTGATGGTACAGGCCTTTTAAGGGTTGCGATAGTGTCCACCTGGTGTAGATGTTGGCACCTTGCTCAGAATGAGTAAATGTTTCAAGGAGGGCATTTGGTGTAGAGCAAAAATGACGGCGATGCTGTCACAGTGTTCGATGACGCGCGAGCGCCAAATGTGCGATTCGAGGCGAGGTGCGGGTCGACATCGAAAATGTGCGCCTCGATTTTCCAGGGGCCGTTTTGAGCCTGAGGGGTTGAGCACTATCGTGACATTTGCGTCACTTGTGTTTTGGGACGTTTTAGGTACTCGCTGGCACTTTTTGTATGCTTTTCCGTAGAAAAACCCACTCACACGAAAATTGAGCACCAAACTTTTCCGCGATGTACTACCTCTGGTACTCTAGTAGTCTACTCGGCCTAAGCCCTTCTGTTGTTTCTCTGCGCTGCAGCATCCAAGGGATTCGTCGCCACGCGGCGCATGCTGGGATCTTCACTTGGCGGGGGAGGGGGGACTGTCTATCACCTCGAGAAATCCGCCGCGACCATCCCGACCGCCGTGAAATTGTCGGCGCCAACCACAACCACTACCACAACGACATCACCGACCAAGACAACCACCACGGGCCCGACCGCCGTGAAATTGGTAGCTGGGGGAGGCGGGACTGTGTATCACCTCGAGAAATCCGCCGCGACCATCCCGACCGCCGTGAAATTGTCGGCGCCAACCACAACCACCACCACAACGACATCACCGACCACCGTGGTGAAATTCCGAGGGTGCGCAAAATGTACACGGTAGCTTTTCCTGCGGGAAACCTATGAGCTCATGGCCGTGACTGTAGTGGTGTGACATAAGGCAAGCCTGTGATTTAGAAGCATGTTGTGTGTTTGTAACATATGGGGTGAATTGGTGTGTGCTAGGCTGACTTGTAATGCATGTTTTTTCCCTTTTCCATTCCATGTCTTGTAATGCATGTTCTTGTAATGCAGTGGTGATTACAATGGTGTCTCTCTTAACCATTGGTTGGTAGTGTCGTTCATGGTAACATCGTCTACTGGAGTTTTGAGCCAACCAGCACCCAGTTTAGCTGAGTTGGTGTGATGCTGATTCGCCTGAACGGAATCACTAGCACTGACTGATGGTTACTGGGGCTTGATACATGTACCAACTGGGGCTTCTGCAGTTGTCCAAACAACAATTCCATGCACTAACAACAAACAACTCTGCAAGCGTGGCGTAGTGTCAGTCAGGAATTCAGTCCGCTAGTGGCAAGTGCTTTTGGACCTGTGTGGAAAGGACACAAAAAAATAGGGGAGAAAATTTGAGGAAAAGCTTCAACAGTAAAAAAACTTCCTAAGTTGCTGATAATGAGTGAAGACATGAGGTGCAATGAGAGGGAGAAAAGGAGGCAGGAAGGGCGAGAGGGGCGAGAGAAGAGGGAGAGAGAGCAACGGAGACCGGGCGAGAGGGGTTGAGAAGGGCTGAGAGGGGTTGAGAGGATTGCCTGTTGAAGGAACTTGGCAAAAGCTGGATGCGACCGTGCTGCTTCTAGTGCCTGGGGGGAGCACAGCGAGGGGATGAGAGGGGATGAGGGCGTTGGAAGGGTATGCGGGGATGAGGGGATGGGGGGATAACTGGATGCGACAGCATTGCTTCTAGTGCCTGGGGAGAGCACAGCAGGGGGATGAGAGGGGATGAGGGCGTTGGAAGGGTATGGGGGGATGAGGGGGTGAGGGGATAACTGGATGCGACAGCATTGCTTCTAGTGCCTGGGGAGAGCACAGCAGGGGGATGAGAGGGGATGGGGGCGCTGGGAGAGCACAAGAGGGTGGGAGGATGAGGGGATGGGGTGTTGAGAATCTTGAGGGGAATGAGATGAGATAGTAAGGCAATGCAAACAGGTGCATCGGCGCACAGGTGCATTTTTGACAATCAAACATGACAGCGGCGACCGCTGTGACAAGGAAGAGACAAGAGAGTGGAAGGGGCGAGCACTGGCTGCTCTGCTCATCCAACGTCACAGTTGGGTGCGGAGAGCTGTCAACGAGGAGAAGCATGCGGTTTTGGGACTTCTCAACACATGTTTTGCAATGGATAAAAAAAACAAAAGTGGCGATGAGAAGGGCCGAGCACTGACTGCTTCTGGGTGCGGGGAGCTGTCAATGAGGAGCAGCATGCGCTTACTGAGACTTCTCAAGGCATTGTTTTGAGACGTAAATAGAACGCAAATGGGAAGGAGAAGGGGCGAGCACTGACTGCTTCTGGGTGCGGCGAGCTGTCGATGAGGAGCAGCATGCGCTGCAACTCGTGGTCCATTGTAAGAACTCTCAAAAGTGAACCAAACATAAGGAGGGTAAGTGGGTGGCAGTACTGACTGCTTCTGGGTGCGGCGAGCCGTCGATGAGGAGCAGCATGCGCTGCAACTCGTGGTCCATCAACTGCTTGCCTCAGTGCTGCATCGTCCGCTGTGAGGGCATGCGGGAGACGAGAGGGGAATGGGGAGGCGGGGGGAGTGGGGAGTGGGAGTGAAGAGGAGCAGAAGTCGCCTGCTCCCTTTGTCACATACCTCAAACACCAGCAGACGTCATGCTACTGGGCAGGCATTGCTGTCGCATCACCCATAAACACACACCCAGTGCCGGCTCCTCGCCTATTTTCCTGAGTGTGCTGCAGGGAAGCCGCCAGGAAAGCTCGTCCTCGTCCTCACCTCTTCAAACGGCCGCACAGGCTGCTTCCCCCTACTGCTGCTGTCTGGACCGGGGCTGCATTGGGCATCTGCTGCTGATCTTCGAACATTTTCCAGTGAGCAGCGGCGCTTAGGGTTAGGCTTGAGCAAGTAGGAAAAAGACAGTGTAATTCTTAACACTAGCTACTAGCCAAGAGCTTGTAAAAGCGGAACTCCTCTCGTTAACAGAAATTAAAACAAGACAAAATGTCCGAAGATCCGAAGATCCGCTCACTGGAAAATGTCCGAAGATCTGCTTCCCCTTGCTGCTGCTGTCTGGACCGGCGCTGCATTGGGCATCTGCTGCTGTGGCGGCGGCTGTAGCTCCGGCCTCTGCTGCTGACGTGGCAGGCTGCTCTCTTGCTTGGCATGGCTTTTCCGGAGGGGGAGGGGAGTGAGTGCGGTAAAGAGTGGTTCTATGTGGTGCACGGGTGTCGAAGAGGAGTGAGAAGGTACAGGATGGTTGGGGACGGGTGAGGAAATGGCGAGAGATGGGAGAAAGTGAATGGGTTGTGTGCGTGTGTGTGTGCGCGCGCGAGTGTGAGTGCGTGCGTGGGTGTGCATGCGTGTGTTTGTGTGCGTGCCTGCACGTTAGTTTGAGGTTTGGCGCGTATGAGAGCGCGGAAGGGAGCGCATATATCTTGCTCGTGAATATCTCAGTATCGGACAACAAAGAACCTCAACAAGCAGCACATACAAATTGTTTAACCCAAATCACGATATTCTTAACCAGATCACAAAATCCTTAGAGCGAGCAGGCAAAATAGTGACCCCGTTTTCTAGTTGGGTCCAGGTTGAAATGAGTGAAGTGGCGGGAAGGAGTGCGGGTTGATGGCCAGAGTTTACGCGCCAAAAGAAAGGAGGCACGCACCCCGCGGGAGGGGAGCAAAAAAAAAGGGTAAGTAGCTTTCGCGAGGGTACTACTAGGGACCCCGCGCTTTCTAAAGAACTACAGTGCCAGCAGCGAGCACTTTCCGCCCCTCCGTGCCTCAGACAGGGGAATTATAGAAACAACACATAACTCTTCCCCACATTCACCCACGTGGCACAAGTTTCGTACACCAACTACTGTACTGGGCAACTTGTCAACTGTGCGCAACTGACTTTTGTTCCGTCTGCCAAATCGAATCCCCACTCTGGGTGGCTCGGCTGCCACACTGTTCCGAAATCTGCTAGGCTAGTTTGTCGCGCCCTAGATTTCAGAACACAGGCCAGCTCGCCAGACGGAAACGGAGAACACTAGCACTCCGTCAGGTTGTTTGAATCCCTTCATCTCACGTACGTTACGTTGCCTCCGTCTGTTGGACTTGTCTAATGCTGCTTCACGGATTAGGGTTTGCGACAAGTCACAGACTGATGTAAAACTTCGTTCTAAGTTATTGCGTACGTTCCCTCAAGCAATCTTAAAATCAGCATAGGCGCCATGTGTTTTTCTCGAATCTGTGGCCACACCATATCCATTAGTAGGAGCATCACCTTCTCTCGGATAATGTTTAATTGGCTAGCAATCCAGGATATGAGTTCTGGTTCGTTTAATATGTGCACCCTTTTTTTCTCTTCTCCGATCCTTGCGGTCGATGGTAAGTTTGCTTGATTTCGGGTTTAGCCTATCATAACATCGTAGGCGACTTACATAATCTGACTGTGCCCTACGACTTACCTTCCGCATGATTGATCGCGCATTTTCTATGTTGCCGTTTATCAACCATGTTACGGACTCCTTGCGTTGGTCTGTACAGAATGCTAAGCTTCAGTCACCCCGCACATGTGTTTCATCCACATTTTTTAGTATAATCCACCCTTTTCTTGTCTATCCTTTATTCTCCTGCCTTACATGTGTCTCTTATCTTATGTTTCAGACTTCCATCACTAGCAAACTATCGTGTAGACAGAAACCATGTGTGCACAATGTTCAGAAGTTCTCTTTCAAGGTGATCTCACTGATTTACAGATGCAATGTATGGGATATGCCTTGAATTGCTGCACGTTCCTTGTTTGGGTTGCATCAAACTACTTACATTTGATTCCTTTACCTTTGCCATTATGTGTTCTTTAAACAGGGCATTTCTTGGGCAACAGACGGAGGAGATCCACATTTACCAAGGGAAAATCTATTCATCCGTAAGCGCTGCTAGAGATGAGATAGAGAAATATGGCGATAAGTTCAACTTTAGGCCGTGGTATAGGGACAACAGGCCAGAACGCCTTGACGTGCATTGCCCTTCTATGAAAGGAAAAGACTGGCCCAAGAATGAGGCCAAAGCGCCTGAGGGTTTTTGTCCGTTTCGGATTGTAGCTACCGGGCCACGAAATTGCTGCTTTAGTGTGAGATCTGTGACGCTGCAGCATGCACACACGTGTGTGCCACGCCCTGGTCGGATTAGGAGGGAACAGGTTAAGCAATTGGTGCGTGAAGTACATCCTCATACAGTCATTAGACCCATTGGACTACGACATATGGTGCGGGAAAAGTTAGGCGTCGACTGCTGCAATGCTACGTGTGGCCGGTCAATAGATGATGTCACTCGAGAGGATCGTCTAGGTGGAGAGTCGGGTTTCCAATACATTGGTAGCATCTTAGATGTTTTCAAGCGAAATAACCCATCAAGCGTTGTGTCATTGATGCTGGATGAGAAGAGGTTCTATCGTGCTGCAGTGATTTACCCAGGAGTCCGTGAGATAGTGAATAATTGCTTTCCGATCATATTTGTAGATGGATGTCACAACAAAGGTAAATGGCGTGGCCATACCCTGAATGCATGCATGATAGATTGCGAACATAAGCTGGTGAGGTTAGGGAGTGCGTGGGTAGAAGGTGAGAGTGCGAATTCGTGTGAGTATTTTTTGAGCCAGCTGAAGGTAGCTGCCCCTGAGATCAACACTGTGAGGTTTACATTGATGCATGATCGCGGTAAAGCATGGAAAGCAGCTGCGGCCAGAGTGCTGCCAGGGGCGCGTGAGGCATTTTGCATCACACACTTGGTGAGGAATTTTAATTCAAAGTTTGGTTCCGACTATGATGGCAAGATCGAGCTCGCGGCTGCAGCATTGACCAGAGATGTGTTGCGGGGCTACATGGACAAAATCGAGGCAGAGTGCCCTGGGGGGAAGCAATACTTGGAGAGGGATGGATTGGCTGCACATTGGGCTACCTTTCTGTTTGATGCGTCACGTTTTGGGTGCTACACTTCAAACCCGGTGGAGTCGCATCATGCCTCTATGCACAATTGGAGAAGGGACAATCCAGCCCAAGTGTTGCTTGCATTCATAACACAGCAAGCGAATGCAATGGAAGAGGGTCGTGGGCTGTATGGGAATCTCGGGGTAGCTGATCTCCCCCCCAAAACAGCAGCTATCATTCGTGCTAATTGTCAAATGGGGACTCAGTACAAAGTGGAGAAGACTGGCAGAAGTTCATACCATGTGAGCCGTGAGACTGGAGCCAAGGAGGAGCGTGTGGTGGTGATGGAGGCAGCGAATCCAGAGAAGGCGCAGTGCACGTGTAATTATTCGAAGTGAGTTATGTGTTTTTATTCTGATTTTTGAAGTACTTGTCACCTGGTGTTATGCACCTGGTGTTAGGGTTGTCATTACATGCATTACCTTTTTGTGATCTCTGGCCTTCTCTTGATGTTTGTCATATGATGGATCCTGACATTCGTTTAACACCCATTTGATTTTCCCGTACACTTGCAGAGAGTATGGGCTGCCTTGTATGCACATGTTTGCAGTACTGCTCCACAACATCCGGCCGGCGCGTGGCAACGAGTTTTCGGATGTCCAACAGGCGGTTCAAGCCATGATCCACAGGTGTTACACATCAACCGCTCTGAAGGAGCTCTACAGCACGGAGATTCGCACTCTAGACCGCACAGAGATAGTACCAGACAAAACAGTTGAGCCACCAGTGTACCCAAAGAAGTCGGGAAGGCCACGCATCAATCGGTTGAGGTCCCATGGTGAGATTGATGGCAGGAAGCTGCGTAGATGTGGGAAGTGTGGGGAGAAAGGGCACAATAGACTGACTTGTGATTTGCGCAAACGATTGAGAGACGCATGGGAGGCACTTCACACTCCGGAAGGGCACATGAGTGTGCAAACAGCTACACAAGCAGAGGCTCGAGTGAATGTGGCGCTGTGTAGTGCATGCAATAGAAGTCACCACAGAGATGTAGTGTGCGAGCCTAGGAGGCAACATCGTGAACATGAACGACCTCAGAATGGGGAGGGGGTGATGGACGGCAACGAGACTCACGCGGCAGATGGTCAGAATGGAGATGTTGAAGTATCAGATGAGGAGGAGGACGGCAGTTCAGAGTCAGAGGGGGAGAGAGAAGAGCAGCCAATGGATGCGGGTGCTGGTGTCCAACAGGCTGTCCCATCAGTACTCCGTGAAGTATTTGGGGAGGCATTTAACAGACGTAATCATTCAGGAAACAATGGAAACATGCGCTCGGGGGGTGTGAGATTATCAAATCCAACAGCAGCAGAGAGTGGGGGATTGGGGGAGATGGGAGGAGCATCCGAGAGTGGAGGATTGGACGAGCGGGGAGGAGCAGGCGACAGCGGGGCAGGGAGGGGAGGAGAAGAGAGCGGGGCAGGGAGGGGAGGAGCAGCCGAGAACGAGGCGGGTAGGGGAGGAGCAGCAGGGAGCGCGGCGGGGAGGGGAGGAGCAGCAGGGAGCGAGGCAGAGAGGGGAGGAGCAGTCGAGAATGGGGTAGGGAGGGGAGGAGCAGCAGGGAGCGAGGCAGAGAGGGGAGGAGCAGTTGAGAATGGGGTAGGGAGGGGAGGAGCAGCAGGGAGCGAGGCGGGGAGGGGAGGAGCAGTCGAGAGTGGGGTAGAGAGGGGAGGAGCAGCAGGGAGCGGGGAGGGTAGGAGAGGAGCAGCAGGGATCGAGGCAGGGATGGGAGGAGCATCAGCAGGGACAGGGAGGGGAGGAGCAGCAGGGAGCGAGGTGGGGAGGGGAGGAGCAGCCGAGAGTGGGGTAGGGAGGGGAGGAGCAGCAGGGAGCGGGGTGAGTAGGGGAGGATCAGCAGGGATCGGGGCAGGGAGGGTAGGAGCAGGGAGCGGGGCGGGGAGGGGAGGAGCAGAGAGCGGGGCCGGGAGGGGAGGAGCAGCAGCGAGTGGGGCGGGGAGGGGAGGAGCAGAAAGCGGGGATGGGAGGGGAGGAGCAGCAGTGAGTGGGGCGGGGAGGGGAGGAGCAGCAGGGAGCGGGGCGGGTAGGAGAGGAGTAGCAGGGAGTGGGGAAGGGAGGGGAGGAGCAGAGAGCGGGGCCGGGAGGGGAGGAGCAGCAGCGAGTGGGGGCGGGGAGGGGAGGAGCAGAAAGCGGGGATGGGAGGGGAGGAGCAGCAGTGAGTGGGGCGGGGAGGAGAGGAGTAGCAGGGAGTGGGGAAGGGAGGGGAGGAGCAGTGAGAGGGGCGAGGAGGGCAGGGGCATCAGGGAGCAGGGCGGGGAGGGCAGCGGCAGGGAGCAGGGCAGGGAGGGGAGAGACAGCCGATAGTGGGGTAGGGAGGGGAGCAGCAGGGAGCGGGGCGGGGAGGGGAGGTGCAGGATGGAGTGGTGGAGTTGCGGGTGAGATGGGAATTGACCACAACAATCCCACACCTGGTGACGCCTCGCAAAACAATGGTGACAACGTGGTTCGTTTTAGACTGAGGCAGATGCAACACGTTCGTCAGCAAAGACAAGTGGCACCCGAACCGAGAAATATGGATCAAACGCCAGCGGCTGTGGTGGAGGAAGGGACAGGGGCGGACTCAGAGGCAACGGGCCATACAAACCAGACCCCAGTACCTGAGACACAGCAATCAATCGTTGTGGATAACCCAGCGGACCACAGCGGGGAAATGCGGGATGAACAGCAGCATGTGAAGTTGGGGCAGAAGCGACACCGCCTGTTGAGAAGGTTGCAGATGCAGCAACGACATCAAAGACGGAAACAGCTGCAGGGTGTGACTCAGCAGGGACAGCAGCAGAAGCAGCAGCAGCAGCAGCAGCAGCAGCAGCAGCAGCAGCAGCAGCCGACGCAGCAACAGCAGGGACAACAGGGGCGGCATGGACAGCAGGAGCGGCAGGGACAGCAGCAGCAGCAGGGACAGCAGGAGCGGCAGGGACAGCAGCAGCAGCAACAGGGACAGCAGGAGTGGCAGGGACAGCAGCAGCAGCAGCAGCAGCAGGGGCAGCAGATGCTGCTGCTCCTGCAGCAGTTGCTGCAGAATGCGCAGCAGGGAGGGCAGCAGCAACAGGGAGAGCTGCATGAGAGGGGCCAGCCACAACAGCAACATGATGTTGGGCTACATCTGGAGCAACTGCTGCAGGTATTGCGACAACAAATCCAAAATCAAAGCCACCAAGAGTGGCCTCAATCTCAGCAGCAGCAGCAAGAGCGACACGAGCATCTGTAACAGAGTAAAAAACAACAGAAACGATTGCAGCAGCAATGACAGGAGCAGCAGAAGACAGTGCAACGAATGCATCAGCAATTGCAACAGCAACAGGCAGGGTTGTGGCTGCAATCCTCTTCGCTGCAACAACAATGGTGAACCTTGTGAAACTAGAATATGGCCTTGTATCATTGTTGACACATCACAACGTATGAAACAAAGCCTTGTCAACCATCTCCCACTCCCTGCAACCACTCCCGGCTCTCGCTCCATGCTTCTGGTACCGTACCTGACACAACTCCCTGCTCCCACTCACTGCTATGATCCTGAACTAAATGAGTGTCGTGAATTTTTTAAAGTTATCCAACCATGGAAACGTTGTGGTCTTTTATTTTTTCCAGAAATATGTAGTGGTATTTGTTGATGGATGCATGCAATCACTATAATGTGCAACTCTGAAAAGCACTATGTTCTGAAAATGAAGCACTGTTGTTTCACATCAGAAATATGTCACACAACACCACCTAGTAGCATGCACACCACTCTATCCTTACCCGCAATTACGCATTCGTTATTCAACAGAGGGATCACACCTTTGAAATTTTTTTAGTCTCTTATGGTGCTAGATTCCTCTATTTCCAGCATGTTTGTACTTACCAATATTTCAATACAAGGACTGCTTGAGAGAGAGAGAGAGAGAGAGAGAGAGAGAGAGAGAGAGAGAGAGAGAGAGAGAGAGAGGCTTAGTCCTTAGCCTCTCCAGCCCTCTCCAGCCTAGTATAAAGGCCCTAGGAACTAGTCCTAGAGCCTCATTATTCATTTCATAGTTCGTGTGCTCTCCTAACCGAGCGGCGAGAGAGGAGAGAGAGAGAGAGAGGCTTAGTCCTTAGCCTCTCCAGCCCTCTCCAGCCTAGTATAAAGGCCCTAGGAACTAGTCCTAGAGCCTCATTATTCATTTCAGAGTTCGTGTGCTCTCCTAACCGAGCGGCTCGCGCCGGCCGCCTTCGGCGGCCGACGCTCGACAGCGCGGCCTTCGGCCGCGCGTGAGGGGCGGCAAGTTCAATACACGCAAAAGATACTAAGCAGAGACATACACACAATGACGGTTTCAACAAGCACCTAGAGAGGCATGGCATCAAGGGGGCAATCGGAGCCCGCGTCTACATGCGGTGAGCTCCAAGGGCGTGAAGAACGCCCGTCAGGGAGCGCCACAGCTCCCGGACCACAAGCGTGCTTGCTCCAATCGCGGCGGCTCCAGAACCTGCACGCAAATGGCGCCTCAGGCTGCGCACAGCCTCATCGAGCTGCCCAGCAGCCGCAACCCCACCCTCTACGGGCGCAGCCAGCACGGGCGCCAGCAGCACTGCGAGCTGGTCGGCTGCATCCAGGCACGAATCGCGGTGGCGATCCTGGAACGTCTCGGGGGGAACTGCAGGAAGTGACGAATGCGCGAGAACCTGTATCAGGAGCAGAGCGTGAAAACTCTCCGCGAGGCGGAAGAGCTGGGCGAGAGTCGCCTCCGGAACACGGGACTGTGGAGGCTGTAATGCCTGCGCCAGAAACTGAAACGGCTCCTCGAGGGCAGGAGTTGCTGAACCGCCAACTCCGGGATGGGGATACCGCGCTCCTCCACCCGCGGCCACAAACTCAACCCCCGCCACAGGCGGAACGGGCGGGAGACGAAGCCGAGACCCAGGAACAGGAGCGGAGGCAGAAACAGCGGGAGCCGACGGGGCCGGATTCTGATGAGGGATGGGTGCAGCAGGCGGTGGAACCACAGGGAGTACTGCCTGATGAGGAGCAGCACGTGCCACGGCAGCGTGGGAGCTGCCCTGGGTCTGGGTGGCCCTCTCCTCACGCACCGCATTTGACACCGCCCGTTGCAGATCCGCCATCCTCACGGGCGGATCGTACGCCCCCCCACCTCCGCGACCGCGGGGACCCCACCAGCCACCGCGGCCGCCGTGGTTCGCGTGCCACTGGGCCTGCTGATGCGGGCGACGGGGAGAATTGCGCCGGCGCCGCGAGGACTGACGATCCTGTTGGGGAGCGGGAGAATGAGGGCGAGATGCGCGGTGGCCAGGTGACGGCGGGCGAGACAGCTGTGCCCCAGGAGCAGTCGGTGGCACAACAGGTGCAGTCGGATCCGCAACCGGCGGCACAACCAACGGGGCCGGGCCGCCAGTGGTGGCGGACGCCGCCTGCGGGGACGAGGCAGAGGCAGGAGTCGGCAACTCCGGCGCGGCAACAAGTCCCACAGGCGAGGGAGCCAAGGGGTCGGCGGCAGACTCCGGCGGTGCAGCAGGGGACGCCAGGGGTTCAGCCGCAACAGCAGCAGTTGCAGGAGTCGGAGCGACAACAGTCGCAGTTGAACCAGGCACATCCGCGACAAGGAGAGCCGCGGGTCCGGGGTGAGGAATCTTTTCAGAGGTTGCTGTCGAGGGCTTCTGAGCCGGAGGCAGAGGGGGCTTCGTCGCCGTGGTCGCCCTTTCGGGCTCAGACTGAGGCTTGGCGACCATTGCCGACCAGGAGGCAACGAGCTCTGGCGTCGGCTCAGGCGCACCGGGAATCACCATCGCGTGGACGAGGGGCTCAGGGAGAGAGGAGCCAGGCGGTTAGCGGAGCAGGCGGAGGACCAGAGAACGGGTATCAGGTGGCAGGGCGTCGGGCTTTAATAGCTCTGGTAGCAGCTAATGAAGTCGAGGAGAGAAATGACCCCTCTTATATCGTGGAAGTGCAGCCAGAGAGTGAAAATGAAGAGGGGGATGGAGCCGAGATAACAAGGGTAGGAACGGGGAGGAGAGGCCCAGATGCAGCCAATATACCCAGGGCAGAAACGGAGGGTCAAGCAGGGCCGTCGGCTGCCGATCGAACGGATGGGAATCCAACTCGGCAGCACACAGCAAGATCGAGCCGCGCTCGAAGAAATCGGACCGCGGCGTCAGACGCGACTCCGCAGCTGCCCCGCTATTTTTCGCCAGAGGAGCTGGCAAAGAGGAGCGACATGTTCGCTGACATCGCGAACTGGGATGTTTCCGCCCTTTGCGACAGTCGACAACCACCACTGTCAAGACGATTACCGCCAAATCTGTGCCAGTTATTTTCGCTGGCACTCCTGACCCCGCTACACCATCTCTCGCGAAACCCTGATTCCGAAGCGGGTTGGAAACTGCTTCTTTTCCTCCCGCGTCTGACCCTTCGCCAGGCTTCGCCAAAGCACCCAATTTGGCCACAAATCAAGGCCCGTCTTCGGGCTTTCCAGCGTGGCTTTCCCCCTCCCCCTCCCCATCCCTCCCTCACCCACCAACCCTCCGTGGTTTTGTCCCTTTCCACTTGATCTGTCACCTTCGCTAACCATGTCAGCTTCACAGAGTCTATCTTCCTGTTCCCTCTCAGATTTTGGCGCCCAACAGTTTGTTGAACCTTGCTGTCCTTTCCCTCCCCCTCCCCCTCCCCACCACCCCTTCTTATGCGCAACCAGAGTCTAGTTCTTGACTTGAGCTGGCTTTTGCAAAGTTCCAAGTTTTCGGATTCTTGTAAAATGGCACTTGTTGCACTTGTACGACTTACTGATATGCACTAATAGCTTCTCCCAATAATCCGCGTTATGAGATGTGGCGTATAATCCAAGGAAAAATCTAGATCATCAGGCCGTCGATTTCAGGTTGGGTGCTTTTCAACCACACGAGGCTTGGTTTCAAACGGGTTTTCTCATCTCATCCATCGAACTAGGCTGACCTGCTGCTGAACTTGCAATTGTGGAAAACTTTTTTGCACCAAACCAATCAAGTTTCGTGGTTGCACTTGGAGGGGCATTTGGGTAGGCGGAGTGTTGTCAACCAGTCAAGAAAAGCAAAGCAAGCTCATGGTGGATCACGAAGTCACCACACATTCCGAGCACAAGCAAATGGCCACAAGGCCAGTTCACATGCAGAGTTATAAACGCGGTCAACGCCCCTCCGCCCCCACGCCACCGACCCGATGTGACAGGTGTACTGAGCCGAGCCGAGGGGTTGGCGAAACGTGGTAGTCTGCGCCGAGCCGTGCTGGCGCTCGAGTCAACACCCGTCTGTACTCCGAGTCCAGAAATCCTGGACGAACTTCGCCAAAAGCATCCACCAGCAGGGGACGAGCCGCTGACTTGGCAAGCAGCCGACACTCGGCCTCTGGGCATTTCCCATGCGGAATTCGCGAAGCTCCTCGGGCGTTGCGAGAATGGTGTCGGTGCTGGACCTTCGGGTACAACATTTGAGCACCTGCGCGATGCGGCAGTAACCAATGCATCCGTCAGCACCCATCTGCACGCCGTGGTTAATACAATTCTGGGTGGAAATCTCCCAGCCTCGGTGGCGGACCTGCTCACAGCGTCTCGACTCATAGCCCTGGCCAAACCTGGGGGCGGGGCTCGACCAATCGCAATCGGCGAATGCCTGACGCGGCTGGCTGCCAAGGCTGCGCTCTTGGTCATGGGGGATGCTGCACGTGAATACTTCTTACCCCTACAGTACGGTGTGGCAGTGCCAGGTGGAGCAGAAGCGATAATTCACGCCGCCCGAACGTACGTGGATGGCCACCCGAACAGCCTGGTACTGCAAGCCGACATCGCGAATGCTTTCAATAGCATTTCGCGACAGGCTATCGCTGCTGCGTTACAAGAACCCAGCCTTTCGCCACTGCTACCGCTGGTCAGACTGACTTACGGTAACCCGTCGCAGCTGCATCTGGATGCAAACTTTTCGAGCGACCCCTTGCGAAGTGAACGAGGCGTTCGCCAGGGCGATCCACTGGGCCCTCTCCTTTTCGCGGCAGGGATTCACCCCACACTTCGCGACACTGCAGCAGCGCACCCTGATGTGCTTTGTTTGGCGTATGCGGACGACGTGACCTTCGTGGGGGAAAAAGGTGCAACTGTAGCTGCCTTCACCCACTTCACCTCGAAGCTGGAATTCCTGGGCCTGAAGCACAACCCGCAGAAGTGCACGGCATGGAGCGCACGCACGTGCGACTCGACTGAGCTGCCGCCAGAAGTCCCTTTCTGCACGGACGGCGTTCGGTTGTTGGGTAGTTTTATTGGTACAGCGGACGGGGCATCTGCTTTCCTGGCTGGGCAATTGGGGGAGCTGGCGCGACCCTTGCCACTCATCGAGCGTGCCGATCCGCAGGTCGCTTCGCTGCTGATCACGCGTTGCATCTCCCGGCGCGTGGCGTACCTCACACGGACGACCCCCCTAAATCTCGTCTCCCGGGACACATGGACGCAGTGGGGCCGCGATCTCTTGACGACATTGCTTACCTCGTGCAATATCCGAGCTCCTGCGGGTAGAGCAGAGCAGTCGCGCGTATGGGCCCAGGCATCCCTTCCTCCGTCTCTTGGGGGTGTTGGGATCACAGACCCTCTCATCGAGGGTGTATACGGATTCGTCGCCAGTTTCACGCAGGCGGCGCTGTTCTTCTCCACGCTCGCTCTACCCCCGGATTCTGCCCTGTTGCACGCATGCGGCCATATGCTCCTGCCTAGAGACGAGAGCACTCCACTCCACTCCTGGCTCACTGAGTGTGAGACCGCCCTGCCTTCAGACGCGCGTGAGCTGTTGGAACGAGAGCGACGACGGATGTGAAGCTGCAGCACGCCCTCGCCCTCCAAGTCCACGGCAGTCGCTACGCGGTGCAGGTTCAGGAGACGAGGAAGATGCCGCTGAATCCGCTTGCAGGACACACGCAGCGGATGTTTTCCTTGACGGGATACGGCACTGGGGATTGGTTGACGGCGATACCAATAGCCACGACCCGGCGCATTGGACCAGTCCACTTCGCCAACGCCGTCAGATTCCGGCTCGGCTTGCCCTTCTCCACTCCCAGAAACTGTGACTGCGCGGACCACATAGCGATCACTGACCCCCGCCTCCCAAATCACCTCCTACGCTGCGGCACCGGCAAGCACCGCATCAACACTCACAACGAGCTCCGTGATGCATGCATCAGCATGGCCCAGGATGCGGGATTCATAGTCCACAGTGAGTCGGCGGCCCACTGTCCCATCGAGGAGCAAACGGCCGATTTCACCATGACCGACAGGAGCAGTGGGGCGGTATGGGTGTGTGATGTGACTGTGACTGACCCTATCAGCACGCGGGACCCGGAGGCGCAGAAAGGAAGGGGATGGGCGGCCAGAGAGCAGGCGGACAAAAAGATTCAGCACTATGCAAGCCGACCTGAGACGGTTGGCTTCTTTTCGTTGGCGGTGGAGACCTATGGCTGCCCTTGTGCAGAGGTCCCCGTCTTCCTGAAACTCCTGGCAGACACGGCGGCTCGGCGCCACTTCAACGCCGATTCTAACTCCTATTATGCCGCTAAGTTTCTGCATCAGTTCAGGCAGCGGTGGTCGGTTGCACTTCAGAGAGCACAGTCCGTGGGGTTGCTCATGAAGCTGGGTGAGGCGGCAGCCGCTGAGAACCCGCCGGTGGGGGGTATCGGCCATGAACTACACCTAGGGGATTGTTTTGCTGTTTTGGAGCCACTTGTGGATCTGTAGATGGGATAGGCTGTGACTTGCATGCTTATGGAACCTGTATGTGTGTACCTTTCGGCCATATCAATATACGGACCATTAGAGAGAGAGAGAGAGAGAGAGAGAGAGAGAGAGAGAGAGAGAGAGAGATAGATAGAGAGAGAGAGAGAGAGAGAGAGAGAGAGAGAGAGAGAGAGAGAGAGATGAGGGGAAGGAGAAGGGGAAGGAGAAGGGGGAAAATAAGGGGAAGGAGAAAGGGATGGGGAAGGGGAAGGGGAAGGAGAAGGGGAATGAGAAAAGGAAGGAGAAGGCATGGAATTTGAATAACAAACGATCACTAAAAGAGAAAGGGAAGGAGAAGGGGAATGAGAAGGGGAAGGAGAATGGGAAGGAGAAGGGAAGGAGAAGGCGAAGGATAAGGGTAAGGGAAAGGGGGAAGGAGAAGGGGGAGGAGAAGGGAAAGGATAAGGGGAAGGAGAAGGGGAAGGAGAAGGGGAAGGAGAAGGGGATGGAGAAAGGGAAGGGGAAGGGGAAGCGGAAGGAGAAGGGGGAGTAGAAGGGGAAGGAGAAGGTGAAGGAGAAGGGGAAGGATATTGGGAAGGAGATGGGGAAGGAGAAGGCGAAGGAGAAGGGGAAGGAGAATGGGAAGGCGAAGGGGAAGGAGAAGGGGAAGGATAAGGGGAAGGAGAAGGCGAAGGCGAAGGAGAAGGGGAATGAGAAGGGGAATAAGAAGGGTAAGGAGAAGGCGAAGGATAAGGGGAAGGAGAATGGGAATCTGTGGAAGGATAGGCCTGTACGCAACATGTCAGCTCGCCAACGTCTAGATGCCTTTTATACCACTATTTATTCACACAGTTCCCTAATATATCCTATTACCTAGCCATATGAATTAGTTTGACCTCGTTCGCACAACTACGCAGCACGTGGCGCTTGTTTGTGCATTTGCTGGCCTGAAACTGTGCAGGGATAGGCCTGTGCGCAACATGTCACTATTTCAACGTTTGAGTGTGGTTTTTACCTCTATTTCTTCACACATTTCCCTATTACATCATATTCCCTAGCCATAGGAACTGGTTTGACCTCGTTCGCACAACCACGCAGCACGTGGCGCTTGTTTGTGCATTTGCTGGCCTGAAACTGTGCAGGGATAGGCCTGTGCGCAACATGTCACTGTTTCAACGTCTGAGTGTTGTTTTAACCTTTATTTCTTCACACATTTCCCTAGTACATCCTATTACCTAGCCATAGGAACTGATTTGACCTCGTTCGCACAACCACGCAGCACGTGGCGCTTGTTTGTGCATTTGCTGGCATGAAACTATGCAGGGATAGGCCTGTGCGAAACATGTCACTGTTTCAACGTCTGAGTGTGGTTTTTACCTCTATTTCTTCACGCATTTCCCTAGTACATCCTATTACCTAGCCATAGGAACTAGTTTGACCTCGTTCGCACAACCACGCTGCAAGTGGCGCTTGTTTGTGCATTTGCTGGCATGAAACTGTGCAGGGATAGGCCTGTGCGAAACATGTCACTGTTTCAACGTCTTAGTGTGGTTTTTACCTCTATTTCTTCACGCATTTCCCTAGTACATCCTATTCCCAAGCCATAGGAACTAGTTTGACCTCGTTCGCACAACCACGCTGCAAGTGGCGCTTGTTTGTGCATTTGCTGGCCTGAAACTGTGCAGGGATATGCCTGTGCGCAACATGTCACTATTTCAATGTTTGAGTGTGGTTTTTTGTTAAAAGAAGAACGAGAATGTTTGAACTATGAATGAAGTGAGTACATATGGGAAACCCTAATTGGGTTGTACCCCTTATGGGATACCCCACTATAGCCTACACAACAGCATAAGCTATATAATGTTCTGACACACCCCCATAGGCAAAGTGGGGGAGAACAAGGGGTCACAAGACCAGTCAAGCAAAGCAGAGCAAGATCAGGGTGGATCACAAAGTCACCACACAGTCCGAGCACAACGACAAGGCCACAAGGCCAGTTCACATGCAGGAGTACACATATATATATAGAGCTAGACAAGCAAGAGCAGGTATATATATGTAACAGTACAAGCAAGGTCAAGAAGAGAGCAAGTGAGGCAAGACAGGTACAAGACCCAGCTGGGTGCAGAAGCGCTGATGGTCACAAGGCGCAAGTGCCTTGGTGAACACATCAGCAGTGTTGGCCGCAGAGGCCACGTAAGCAAGTCGCAACTGACCACGCTGCTGCAGCTCACGAGCAAGAAAGTAACGGAGAGCAATGTGCTTCGTTCTGTGCTCCAAGCGCTGCTCTCGACACAAGGCCAGCATGGCCTTGTTGTCTACGTACAGCACTGGAGGAGAACGAGGCGGCTCTCCAAGGTCAGTCAGCAGGTAGGTGAGCCAGCGAAGCTCCTGTGCAGCCATGGCCCCGGCGTAGATCTCAGCCTCACAACTGGAGCCGAGAACAGAGGACGAGCGAGTAGCCCGCCACGAGACAGAGCCGGAACCAAGACTGAAGGTGTAACCCTGCGACGACCGCTGCGTAGCCTGGTCGTCAGCCCAAGAAGCGTCCGCGTGCCCAGTGAGGACCACTGGACTCCGCCCTCCAAGCACTAGCCCCATGCCCGACGTACTGCACAAGTAGCGCAACACCCTCTTCGCTGCAGCCATGTGCTCTGGTCGGTGTCTCCCAGGAGCAACATAGCGTGCAAGAATGCTAAGAGGGTATGCAAGGTCAGGTCGTGTGCAGGTCATCAGGTACATGAGGCAGCCAACAAGCTCTGGGTACGGGCCACTCGACTCTACGGACTCATCCGAAGGCAGAGCTGAGAGCGAGTGGCGAGTAGACAGAGGAGTGGCCTGAGGCGAGGAGTACGTGAAGCCGAAGCGCTGAAGGACCTGCCGCACCATGTGTGACTGAGTCAAGGTAATGGTGCGGCGTGCTCTGTCCCGAGTGATCTGCAAGCCAAGGTAGCTGCGCAGTTCACCCAGGTCTGTGCACGTGTGTCTCTTCTGCAGCTCGGACTTCACGTAGGCTAGTCCAGCCGTGTCAGCTGTGGCAAAGACCAAGTCGTCGACGTACACGAGGACGTAGAACGGCGGCAGAGAAGTGTCGGTGCGCAGAAACAACGACGGGTCAGCAGTAGAGGGAGCAAACCCAAGAGCCGCAAGCGTAGTCCTCAGTGTGTCGTGCCACTCACGCGGTGCCTGGCGGAGACCGTAGACTGGCCGTCGGAGGCTCCACTGGGTGCCAGGAGGGAAAGTCCCAGTGAAGCCAGGTGGACGGCGCAGCCAGATCTCCTCGTGCAGGCTACCCTGCAAGAAAGCAGTACTGAAGTCAAGAGAGTGGAGCTCGTAGTCGCGCTGAGCGGCTATGTGCAGCAGCACCCGAAGAGTGGTCATCTTCGGGGTGGGAGAGAAGGTCTGAAAGTAGTCAACTCCCTGCCGCTGACTGAAGCCACGAGCGACGTACCGCGCCTTGAAGACAGGTGGAGAGCCCGGCGGCCGCTTCACCCTGAAGATCCACATGCCACTGACGATGTTCGCCCCAGGAGGGGGAACCGCGTCAACGTAGGTGCCTGTGGACTTCCAGGACGCCATCTCTGCATCCATAGCTGCCTGCCACTGAGAGGAGTAGGGACCCTCTACGGCCTCCGCGTAAGAGCGCGGAGTCGGGATGTCTAGTGCATCCGGGTCTCCCTCAGGGGCAAGTAGTACGGACGCGAGATGAGGTGAAGCAGCAGCCAGACACCGGAACTCCTCCTGCCTGTCCTCAAGGACGTCCGTGCCAAGAGCACACTCACCCCCGACGGACGGAGGACAGACAGACGCAGACTCAGCAACAAGACCGGCAGCGTAGTCTAGACGACAGCGAGCAGCAAAGTCGACAAGCTCAGCAACAAGCGCAGACGCAGCAGTGGACTCAAAAGAGGGGTCAGTGACGACAGTAGCAAGGAGACATGTGACAGCAGGACTGGCAGCACGAAGAGAGTCCGACTCCGGGTCAGGAAGAGCAGGAAGAGAGGACTCAGGAGGAGAAGGCAAAGGGGCACGCAGAGGAGCAGTGGACGGACGCAGAGACATCCGGTGCGTGCCAGGGACAGGAGGAGGACGCTGACGCGAACAACGACCACTAGTGCGAGCAGCACGGACAGGCGACGCAGGGCGAGACGCAGGCTCACGACGCTCAGCAAGACCTCCAGTAGGACCAGTGTAGGGAGAAGGAGCGGGCAGTGGGGAGGCCGGCTGTAACTGTAACTGTGACAGGACAGGCTGTGGACACTCTAAGGGAGGAGGAGGACCAGTAGAAGGCGGGAGACCAAGAACCTGCTGAAGGAGCGGAACGAAGTACGGCCTAGGCCGCGCGGCGACTCCAGACACAGCAGGGACAGCACCAGTACCCCCAGCGGCAGCACCAGCGCCAGTAGCACCTCCAGCTCCAGGACCTCCAGCAGCACCAGTAGCACCCCCAGCAGGACCGTCAGCAGTAGCCTCAGCTCCAACACCCTCAGCAGCTCCAGCTCCAGCACCTCCGGGACCCGCGGCACCAGCACCCTCAGCAGCCGAAGAACCTCCAGCCCCAGCAGCACGCCTCCAGCGCCTGGCAAACCACTCGCGCAGCTCCTGTGGAGAGAGGGGCTCCCGCCGAGGCGAAGCACCCGGAGAAACGCCAGGTCCCGCACCGCCAGACGGCACAAGGGGAGGTCCAGTGGCCGCAGGCTCAGCAGCTCCAGGCTCAGCAGCTCCAGACGCAGCACCCCCTGGCTCAGCACCCCCAGACTCCGCACCCCCAGGCTCAGCACCCCCAGTCGCAGCACCCCCAGGCTCAGCACTCCCAGACTCCGCACCCCCAGGCTCAGCACCCCCAGTCGCAGTACCCCCAGGCTCAGCACCCCCAGACTCAGCACCCTCAGGCTCAGCACCCGCAGCAGGACCAGAGTCACCAGCAACCTCGACCGGCTCGACTGCGTCTACCTGGGACACACCTGAAGGGGCAGGACCCTGAGGGGGAAGGGGGTCTACCGGGGGGGGGACCTGGCACAAGGAAGTGCGGTGGCGGGGGGAGGGAAGGAGTGCGGTAGGGGAAGAGGCGGTAGAAGGGGACTGACTCGTCGAACGTGACGTCCTGGGAGGACAGAACACGACGAGAGGAGGGGTGGTAGAACTGCCACCCTGGAGCGTCAGGGGGGAAGCCGAGGAAGACACAGGGAGCAGCACGAGGGGACAGCTTGTCCGCAGACAAGTCGCGGACAAACGCCCGAGATCCCCAGACACGGAACGCAGACGCATCGCCGACCTTCCCCGTCCACAGCAGAGCTGGGGAGGTCTCCGGCCGGGAGACCCTGGGGTGAAGGTTGATCTGATGCGCCGCGTACCGAACCGCAAACGGCCACAGAAAATGGGGGGCAGCCGCATGCATCATGGACGTACGAGCGACGTCCATGACCATGCCAATGCGGCGCTCAGCAATCCCATTTTGCTGTGGAGAGTCCGGAAGCGTAAAGGTCTGGCGGATGCCTCGTGCACGACAGTAGGCTCGCAGAAGGCCAGAGGAGAACTCTCCACCTCGGTCAGAGTGCAGACGCAGAACAGGAAAGTCCGAGCCGAAGCTCCTCCTGAGCTGGAGACGAGCTGCGCGGATCCAGTCGATCAACACCTCAGTGACATCACCCTTGCTGCGCAAGGGGAAGACTGTGGTGTAACGCGAGTAGTCGTCAACCACCAGCAGGAAGTAGCGCTCGTGACCCTGCCCACGGACGCGGGCGGGGCCCCACACGTCCATGTGAAGCGTCTGCAGTGGAGCCTCTGTCGGGGGGAACTGG